AAAAAAAAACTATGAAGATTATCAATAGTAAAATAGAAGAAAAACCAAAGAGAAAGAAAATAAATTTAGAGATGTATAAGATAGAGATATAATTTGAGAGAGTGTGAGAGATGAAGATGAATAAATAGTTGTTGTATATAAATAGTTATTGTTGATGAAGCTTAAATTCGAAAAAAGTTTATCATATCCTGTGATTATAAAATATCAAAATTTTATTCAAATTTATATAATCAAATCGTAAACACAATTTATATAATCCAGTCGTAAACACAATCATATCCTATATAACAACACATCCAACAATATTGAAAAAGAAACATGTAATAACAAATCATATTTTTTTAATGAATATAATTTCTACATACCTTTTAAAATCTTTGAATTCTTCTTCAACTCTCATCTTCTTCATCCCTCACCAAAGGATTTTATATGATTTCATTTTGTTTATTATTGAAACTTTAAAAAACAAATTTCATTAAGAAATAAAAGAAAGTAAATGGAAGAGCAAATCAAGAGTTGGTGGTTAAACTTGGGTATACAAAATTACAAAAATAACTCGGGTTAATTATGAGCTATACATTTTTCATCAAGGGGCAAAAAAGTCTTTAACATATTCAACATTTAAAAAAATCAAAAAAATGAGAAAAAAGATAGGAGAGGTTCTTAGCATTAGAAGGTGTCACCTCATTACCTTTGGTTTCTTCTTTAATATATATTATAGATATAGATTATATATAAATATGCAATTGAAATATGGATGAAATAAATATAAAATATACTTTTTTTCTACTTTACAATACAATATAACATACTTGTTGGAGCACAAAAACTCTCCTAACTCACCTCATTAATGATTGAAATGTTTAAGTGTTGCAACAATCTCCGTACATAACGATCTCTCAATCATTTTTTTAAATAAACTGGACAACAAATTCTTATGGTTTAGACTCCTACTACGAGGGACAGAGCTAGGGTGGTTGTCATGACACGTGCCCTGATATTGTCCCTCCGTCATAAGCTAAAAATATTTAGGCTCATGAAAGGTGCAAAAAGAACGTAGCAGATCCCTTTGATGAAACAACTAGCCAAATATGTTCTCAAGAAAATTCCAATGGAGATGTACGTAAACTATACATCCATAGGGGTTGAAAGCTTGTTTCCGTCAAGACCCCAAGATTGCACAAGTTTTAGTGACAGTTCAGAGATATAGAAAAAGATGCACAGAATCTACAATCATCAAAGAACACAGAATAAATGGTTAAGTTAAAAAAGAAGTCAAAATGTCAACGGATCATCCCTCGTTGCCAAGACCTCGACCAGGGAGCCATATAGTTTACAGGTATGGTTATATGGTATCATAAGAACCTAAGCCGGAAAAAAATCAACAGTGTTTTCTTACCATTTCAGGTAAATATCGACAAAAGTCATCTAACCCCAGAACGGGAAAACGAAAAGAAAAAAGAAAACTTAGTTAAGTTCTATGTATTCCTAGGATAAGTTACTTTAATTGTATAACTTGACAAAAATGATACATTTTACATGTATCATACAAATTATGTTGCTGCTGCTGTTGATTATGCTGAAGTGCTGGGGATGTCATCAGAGATCTTTTTGCTGGATTTGGGTTGTGCTGGATTGGTTTTAGGTGGCAGCAATGGCCGGTTTGGATGAACTTCAGTAACCTTTTCGGGTGGAATATCAAACTGCAATGCAGCCAAACAAAAGATGTTGCTTATAATCATGAGGAGCATAATGTCAAATTTGACTAAGGCTATGTTTGGCAAAACTAACGGATAAGATTGATGACAATGTAAAATGATTTTGAAAAACTAGTTGGAAAAACAAAAAGGGGTATAATTAGAAAGAAGTTAAAAAAACCTGTAGCTTATTGAACAGGTTATCTGAAATAGTTTTTCAAAAAGCTAGTTTATGGCTTACCAAACGAGGCTTTATCAATAAGTTCAAAAAATAAGCACATATGGTTACCAAACTCAAACGATGTATTATCTTGGAACAAAGGGAGTGTTATGTGTGATTTGTGGGAGATCATAATGCAGATAATATATTTAACAACTAAATGAAATTTGTTGTTATCACAAAAAACGAATTAGTAGATTCAAGTTCATAAAGCTTTGAAATTTCCAATATGAAACTATAAATGGATAGAAAATGAACTTAATGAAACTGACCTTATAGCCACAGCCAGATACGCAAGCATGAAAGCAATCCTGAAGACAGAAAAGGTAGGCATGGTCATTTACAATTCACTTAGAGGCTTTTCGGTACATACTGAATAATAAGGATTTAATGATCAGAATGATAAGAGCTCTGCATATAATTAAAAGTTGTGTCACTTGTCAAGAACTTGGTCATATCGGCATATCATTTCCTAAAACTCCAAATTGTTTTCTATCTTTTGTCCATCAAAGTAGATAATCTTTCTATATCATCTTGGAACCACATCTTTTCAATGGTAAGAAGACGACGAAAGTTGGAGTATTTTTAGTCTCAAATCAAAGCATTGCCACATCTTACAATCGTTTAATCTGGAGGCTATTGTGCTTATTTATAAACTTAAATCAAGAATAATTTCCTCAACTCTTTTAAGTTCATGTGACCATCCTTTAAAAGAGTTGAGAATTTAAGCAAAGAAAGCTTAAGAAACACTAAAAAATCGTAAAACATATCTGAATATATATTGCATTCAACTACACAATTCAAAAGGTTTTACTCAGAATTCAGCAGTTAAAACTCGTAAAATATATCTGAATATATATTGCATTCATCGTCATCAAATATTTGAATATCACATGCTTGCAGCCAAACTAAGACACCAATTAAGAATGAGAAGCTGAAGAAATGAAAAACCTGCGAGTAGCTGGCAGAACCAGGAGAGCGATCAATATAAGCACTCCACTGTTGATCTTTTAAAACTGGGTCTTTGTAGCATATCTCATCACACGCGCTCAAGCCTGAATGATGTTAGGTCAAATAAGACTATTGATAAATGAAAATCATTGCATTATATAGTTATCAAGGCTTAAAAGGATAAAAACATGTTAAAAGTATAACTTATATACACATATTTTTCTACAGAAAAACAAAGGAGATTGATAAAAGAAGGAAGCATATGTGACCAATTGTCTAATGGATAAGACGTACCAACTTGTTTGTTCGTGTTACCTAATGCATGGATACAACTGCTCTACTTTGAGGTCAATTCTGAGTACATCCCACCACCACCCCAGACCCCACCTCATTGATAAGGGTTTGACATAAGAACTTTCTATGTTTCAGAAATTGAAGATACAAATCAGGAAATTGACTTTGAATTATTTTTGGAAAGAAATCAATTGGTAGAACCCTAACTTTTCGAGGAATCCTTCATCAATGGTTGTAAATGATTAATGGGATATACTTGGCTAGTTTGGTTTGGATTGGTTTTACCTAATGCACAAGTAAGTGCTTCACTTGGCATTCTCAAATACAGCATGGATATATCAGCTTTTGTATTGATAGTGCCTCAAGACTTCTATTACCAATTGTATCATTAAATATGCGTTGTCTACGAATAAGTATGGAAACACTAACGATTGTGAAACCTGAAAGAAAATAGCGAAAACAAATAGGGGGCCATGACTACTTTTTTTATTCCAAAAACATTGAACCCCCATAAAAAGTTTATAAACAAATCAATGCAAAGTTCAAATCGTAAAGATGGTACTCACATTCTTCCCATGTATCACCGTCGGCATTACACCCTTTCTTACAGAATACCCTCCCTGCAAGATTCAGCCAGAGGTCCCAAACAGTTTAAGTGAAATAGCATAACAAGATCGATTTTAACAAATATATTACTTGTAGTCCCTTCAGGACACAAGTGAGATGCTAATAACATACAAAGCATTGTACAGAATGAAAATGAAAACCACAACAATAACTAAAATGGTAATCATAATGATGATGAGAATAACAATTGATGATAATGACGTATGGACCGATCTTGCTGATTAATATCAAACCAAATCAGATAGTAGATTTGCTTACATGCACGCAAAAGTTAGGTACTAAGAATTTTGTAGAAAATATATCGATTAGGTCATGCAAAGGCAAACATAAGAAACTTCCGTAAATTTCTGCCAGTACTTACACTTTGGCATAATTTTACTTCAAATATCCTGTTATAAGATTACAAACCAAGTCAGGATCCAAATAAGGTTGTGGATTCTTATGTTTAACATGCCTGATGTCTTAGAAATTCTTGTCATTCAAGAACGGGATGTTTAAAGTAACTATTATATTTTTTGGAAGAGAAAAAAGAGTTTTCAACTGTCCTTTAGAACTAAACTTTCTGACCATTAAACATCAGAAAAATTACATATAAAATCACAGAACAGAAGTTTTTCTGACCACTATCTTGGCAAAATCTTGAATTTGTGATGTTAGTTTGCACGCAAAACCCCTCCTCATGAATCAAAGCAGTGACCAAAAAGATCTAATTGCGACATAACCACAATATATAGCACATTGATTTACATACAAATAGGAACGTAATCAAAGTGAAATGTACACCAACGGACGTAACAAGTTATCTTATGACCTCTAATATTGTAAATAGATTTAAAGCATATAGGAAAGATTGTTAGAAGGAATGTATGCATCCAACATCATAACACAACTATTTGACTGAATCACGAAACTCTTTTTTGAGTTATAAACAGGTTCTACGCATCTTTTCACCCGTAAAACTTTAAATTTCTAACAAAAACCGGTTAGGCAGCATACCGGATGAAAGGGTGGACTAATCTCTATCATGATTTCTCTTTCTCTCCATTCTACTAACACAAACAATCCATCCTAAATTCATTCCAAAACATATATTTTCATGATGTTCCAAATGCAACACAACGATTCCGTACCAACATAAATTGTTAATTCTAATCGGGAATGTTTTTGGGAACATAAATTTGCATATAGAATTACCATCTTCAAATATCATCAATTAGGTTATAAAGTCCAACCGATATTTTCAACATCAAACTTCAGGAAAGGATTATAGATTTTGAGGAAAGAAAAGCTCAACTAAACCAAATATTTGAAACAAGTACTGCATATAGAATAACATCCTGGCTACCTTTAAATCAAAACCCGCATCAATTTCAGAAGCAAATCAAAATGTAGGTCTTTTTTTATGGACCGGATTGAGTACGGATTACAATTCGCAATCCAGCAATCCCCTAATCATGTAGGGTAAAACCAACGATTTTTCATAAAAAAAACGACATTGATTAAAGAAAATCTGCAAAGTTAGAAAACGAATTACACACGAAAAAACAAGTGTTCATGGAACGCTAATCGAATCAAGTAGGGGAAAAGGAAAGAAAAACTTACAAGGAATCTGCATCAAAGCTGAGTATTTATGGGTGCATTGATTCCCACATGGCGGTGTCCATTGCTGTGGAATCATCCTTTTGAAGAATCTTTACCTCCTCGATTTCGAGAAGAAGAATGAAGAAAATTGGTGGTAAATATTGGGAAGAAATATTTGAGGGAGGAGGGTATTTTTGTCATTTAACCACCGTTAGATGACGTCATCCATACTCTCTTTTTGACCAAACGTGTCTTTCATGTTCTTTTTGGGGGTTAAAAACATATTTGAATAAAGTCAAAAGACATACTTTTTTTTAGATAATTAATTTCATTTTTTTTAATTCAATTAAGTATCTATACTATATAAAGTATTTGACAAAATTTTTAAAAACCATTTTTTATGTATGAAGTATTGTCTATTGATATATATTACTTAAAATTCAAGATTACAACTAATAATGCATAAATACAACTTATTAAAACTCCATACTTGAATTCGTGTAACTAACTACAGATAAACATAATCAAATATTGGATAAATATTTAATTTTAAATATAAAAAATCTAAAATATAATTAAGATAATTATTGTCTTCTAACAGAATAATTAATTATAATTTTTATAAAAATTATATTATTAATCTATACTATATTATAAAGTATTTGACAGAAACTCTTAAAAATCATTTTTTATACATGAAGTTTTGTTTATTGATGCATATTACTTAAAATTCAAGATTACAAGTAATAATGCATAAATACAACTTATCAAAGCTTCATACTTGAATTTATGTAACTAACTACAGATAAACATAAGCAAATATTGGATAAACATTTTATTTTAAATATAAAAAATCTAAAATATAATTAGGATAATTATTATCTTCTAACAGAATACTTAATTATTATCTTTATAAAAATTATATTATTAAATCAACAATAAATTACTTCCTTATTAAACCTAAATTAAATTATAATAAAAAAAAAGTTGAATTAAAGAAATTACACAACAAAACAAGAACTTTTAAATAATTGATTTGATACTAATATTGACATGTTTTTCTTTAATTTTAAGATATCTTCAAATTTATATATTATTCAAAAATAAAAGCATTATCGTTTTTCTCAAAACCATATAAAACCGTATTATAACATCGACATGGAACATAATAAAATAAAACATTAAAATCGAGATGTATCTCGTTGCATTGCGCGAGTACCCTTCTAGTTTATTAAAAAACGGTTTGCTTGATAAATCTATATTATATTATAAAACATTTGACAAATACTTTTAAAAATTATTTTTTATGCATGAAGTACTGTTTATTGGTGTATATTACTTAAAATTCGAGGCTACAAGTAAATTGTGCTTAATTACAACGTATTAAAACTTAATGTTTGAATTTGCGTATCTAACTGTAAATAAACATGATTAACTGTAGGATAAACATCTCACTTTAAATATAAAAAATCTAAAATATAATTTGGATAATCATTGAATTACATTTATATGAGAATAATTAATTATTATCCTTACAAAAATTATATTATTAAACCAAAAATAATTACTTCGTTATTAAACTTAAATTAAATTATAATAAAGAATTTGAATTAAAGTAACTACATAAAAAACAAAGAATTTTAAATAGTTAATTTGATACTAATATCGATGTATTTTTTCAAATTTTTATGAATATAAACATTATCGTTTTCTCAAAATCACATAAAACAATATTAAATCGACAGAGACAAAAAATAAAACGAAACATTATCTTGATGTATCTCGCTGCATTGCGCGAATATCCTTCTAGTCTTTCTAAACGAAAATAAAATATCAATTCATGAATTATTTTTATATAAAACATTTTATATTAGAGCATCTCCAACGACTTCTACAAAATGAAAAAAAAAATGAGGATTTTGAGCCAATATTTTGCTCCAACAGCTTTCACAAAAATGGAGAAAGGAAAAGAGGGAAGGGTTTTTTTCTCCAATAACGATTACCAATTGAGACCACCAATAATCTATACTATATTATAAAACATTTGACAAAAACTCTTAAAAACTATTTTTTATGCATGAAGTACTGTTTATTAATACATATTACTTAAAATTTAAGATTACAAGTAATTGTGCGTAAGTACAACTTACTAAAACTCCATTTTTAAATTCGTATAACTAACTGCAGATAAACATAATCAAATATAAGATAAACATCTTATTTAAATATACAAAATCTAAAATATAATTAGGATAATCATTAAGTTCTAACAGAATCATTATCATTATAAAAATTATCTATACTATATTATAAAGCATTTGACAAAAACTCTTAAAAACCACTTTTTATGCGTAAAGTACTGTTTATTAATGCATATTACTTACAACTCAAGATTGCAAGTAGAATGTGCGCAAGTACAATTTATTAAAGCTTTATAACTGAATTCATGTAACTAACTGCAGATAAACATAATCTAATACAGGATAAACATCTCATTTTAAATATATAAAATCTATGTTTATCAAAAAATATATGTTTATCTGCAGATATTCCTAATTATATTAAAAAAAAATTATATTTAAAATGAGATGTTTATTCAATATTTGATTATGTTTATCTGCTTAGTTACACGAATTCAAATATGGAGCTTTAATAAGTTGTACTTATGCACAATTTACTTGTAATCTTAAATTTTAAGTAATATGCATCAATAACCAGTATTTCATGCATAAAAAATAGTTTTTAAGAGTTTTTGTCAAATGTTTTATAATATAGTATAGATAAATAATATTTTAATAAATAAATAAAGTATTTTAATATTGTAAACAATGTTGGATTCTCTAAAATAAAGAATCTGTTTTGTAGATAAATGTAATATAATTTTTAAAGATTTTGATATTTAAATTTTTATTTTGGAAATTTTTTTAAAGAATCTATTAGATATACTCTAAAATAAAAGCGGTTCCAAGTATGTCAAGATACGATAGGCATGGATGGACATTGCTATTAGCATCTCTTAACAGGGTTGTTGATTATTTTGGAATTAAAAAACACAAAACTCATTAAGGGCCTGTTTACTTGTGGCTTAATGAGCTTACCGGATAAACCGGCTTATTCGCACAGCCATTTTAGGCTGTTTACTTCGGGCTTATTCGCCCAGACACGGGCTTATTCGCACAGCAGGGTAATGGTACTTGTCCACATTAAGCCAAGAAAATGACCTGCATACCCTTAAAAAAACACGCCTCCTTCTCCCCTGCATACCCTTCAACAAAACACGCCTCTCTTCTCCCCTTCAACAGAACCCTAGTCGCTCCTTCAACAGAGCCCTAATCGGCCGATTTTGCTGCTCGTGGGCAATCTTCTCTTCTCCAAAGGTAACTCTTCTCCTTATCTATAGATTATACTCGGTTTTTCTGCTCGTTGATGCTCGATTCGCATGTTTTTTTTTCGATTTTATCTGCTCGATTTTGTTTCGATTTTATCTGCTTCATGTTGCTCGATTTTGCTCGATTCAAGGTTTTGCTTGCTCGATTCAAGGTTTTGCTTGCTCGATTTTATCTGCTTCATGTTGCTCGATTTTGCTTGCTCGATTCAAGCATTGGCCTACCTATCGGTTCAAGGTTTTGCTTGCTCGATTTTGCTCGATTCACATGTTTTGTTTCGATTTTGCTGCTTGTTACAAACATATGTTGTTCATGTGCTGATTTTGCTCGATTCATGTGCTGATGATAGTAAACAGTCCAATGCTCTGCATTTTGCTACAAGTAAAAAAGATGTGCTCTTTCTTCCTTTTCATGTGCTGATGATAGTATGCAACCAGAATCCACGCATCCCCTAACCCAACAACATCGTAGGCATAGAGAACTAGATCCTTTACATAAAAATAATTTATGTACAATTGAACGAGCTTGGGTGGGCAAAAGATGATCCGTTGTACCGTATTGCCTTTTCACTTCTTACGGACAACCGTAACAGAGAAGCTTGGATGACAATACCGTCTGAAATTGCAAGGGAATGGGTGAGAACAGTTGGGGCAAAGCAAGGATATCAGTAAAGATTGGTGCCACGTTTTTAGAACGTTTGTGAAGTATAACATTTATAGAACTTTTGTGTGCTAACTTGTGGGTTTTTTGGGATGACAATTTGGTACCACGTTTTGTTGGACATATGATGTTTTTTGGATTTATGACATGTATGTGGCTATTGATTTATGATAAATGTTGGTTTTGGATTTATGATAAGCATGGTTATTTTATGCATTTCTTTTTAGATTTATAATGTTTTGTTTGGATTTATAATGCCTTTTTATTTGAATAGATATGTTGACTTTTGAGGAAGAAATGATGATCGTAGTCCTAATATATATATATATATATATATTATAATGCCTTTTTATTTGAATAGATATGTTGACTTTTGAGGAAGAAATGATGATCGTAGTCCTAATATATATATATGTAAAACGGCGAAGAAATGTTTCGGAAAGAATAGAAAGAATGCCTGATAATACTTCAGCACTGAGCGGATATGCGTACACCCAAGAGCTATTAACTGGACCTAGTACGCAATATCAAGAGTTGATGCGCCTCTCACGTGAAGCGTATATATTGTTATGCAATCATTTTAGACAAAGAAATTGGGTGAAAGATAGTAGACATGTTAGTGTAGAAGAGAAAATGGCAATGTTTTTGACAATGATCGGCCATAACGAGCGTTACAGAGTGATTAAACGTAGATTTCAACGCTCCACAAGAACTGTTCATGTTTGTTTCCATGAAGTTTTACTGGGTATGATGGAATTCGCAAGAGAAATAGTGGTGCCAACAACTTCTGATACAACTTCAAATACGTCGAGTCATTAAAGACGTTTGAGAGAAATATTTCCGGTAAGACTATATAACTTTTAAAGTTTTATATAAACACACCCACACACACATGGTTATGTGTTTAATCTTTTTCCTATTAATGAAGGGTGCAATAGGTGCTCTAGACGGTACCCTTATACATGCAATTGTGCCAGCTAGTCATCAAACTGCTTACAGGGGAAGAGGAGGCGGTCGATGCTATCAAAATGTTCTAGGAATTTGTGATTTCAACATGATATTCACTTTTGTTTGGGCTGGATGGGAAGGTATA